GTTATCTTAATCAGCTCAAACTCCAGGTCTCAGAGACGGCCCTGCTGGCAAAGCAGTTCTTTATTCCTCATCCATCTATATTGGCAGGCCACTTGCTTGACTACCACGTAAACAACACTTGCTCATTTTCATAAAGAACTGGCTGGATGGCTGCACACAAAGAGTTGTGGTCAATGGCTCAATGTCCGGCTGGAGACCAGTAACGAGTGGTGTCCCTCAGGGATCGGTGTTGAGACCGGTCTTGTTCAACATCTTCGTCGCTGACACGGACAGTGGGATTGAGTGCACCCGCAGCAAGTTTGCCGATGACACCAAGCTGTGTGGTTTGGTTGATACCCTGGAGGGAAGGAATGCCATCCAGAGGGACCTTGACACGCTTCTGAGGTGGGCTGATGCCAGCCTCATGAAGTTTAACCATGACAAGTGCAAGGTCCTACACCTGGGTCAGAGCAATCCCAGGCACAGCTACAGGTTGGGCAGAGAAGAGATTCAGAGCAGCCCTGTGGAGAAGGACTTGGGGGTGGCGGTTCATGAGAAAATGAACACGAGCTGGCTTCAGTGTGCACTTGCAGCCCAGAAAGCAACTGTATCCTGGGCTGCATCAAAAGGAGCGTGACCAGCAGGTCCAAGGAGGCGATCCTGCCCCTCTACTCTGCCCTTGTGAGACCTCACCTGGAGTATTGTGTGCAGTTCTGGTGTCCTCAACATAAAAAGGATATGGAACTGTTGGAACAAGTTCAGAGGAGGCCACGAGGATGATCAGGGGACTGGAGCACCTCCCATATGAAGACAGGCTGAGAAAGTTGGGGCTGTTCAGCCTGGAGAAGAGAAGGCTGCGTGGAGACCTCACTGCAGCCTTCCAGTATCTGAAGGGGGGCTATAGGGATGCTGGGGAGGGACTCTTCATTAGGGACTGTAGTGATAGGACAAGAGGTAACAGGTTTAAACTTAAACAGGGGAAGTTTAGATAGGATATAAGGAGGAAGTATTTTACTGCGAGGGTGGTGAGGCACTGGAATGGGTTGCCCAGGGAAGTTGTGAATGCTCCATCCCTCACAGTGTTCAAGACCAGGCTGGACAGAGCCTTGGGTGACATGGTTGTGTGAGGTGTCCCTGCCCATGGCAGGGGGGTTGGAGCCAGCTTACTTTAAGTTCTTTTCCAACCCTAAATATTCTATGATTTTCAGGTATTCAGTAAGAAGGATGCTGAGTTTAGTGCATAGAAATCCCCTCTATCCTTTCATAGGTCTCTTGTTGCATGGACTGTATTTTCTGCAGGAAATATATGAGTTTCATTAGAGGAGCTATTGATTTGTTGTTGTTTTGCTATTTAACTTAACACAGCTGAATATATATACCAGAAACAAAACATCAATGGCCTCTGCTGTTATTTAGTCTCTCACACGTAACCAAATGTAACATTTTCAGCAAACATTCACATAAGACAAACATTCCCTCTACTCCTCTAAACTAAAGATTAAGTGGAAATGTAAAAGGTCCTTTTGGAAGACAGGATATTTCCGAGTACTGAAGACAGACACCTGAGTTATATGAAGTTGATATTTGCAAAGTGATTACAAAAAGTGTCCCCGTAAAACTAAGAGCAGATACAAACAGAGTTCAGAGAAACTTTAGTCTAATTTTCCTGTCTTGCTGCATCACATTTAGTTTTACAGGATGTAACAGGAGAATGTGGCCTAAAGGCATGAATTTGTTAACTGAAATGTACAGTGCAGCATACAATGAAACAAACAAAACACTTATTTCTATTGGCACATACTGGCCGCCTGGTAAGTTAAGATATATGAAGGGCAAATAAGCAAGCAAAGAAATGAGAGAAAAAGGAGGAATTTCCATCCTGAGTAAGTGCAAACACCACAAACAGCCTGTTTTCAACCATCTCATAACTGACTAGCGCCAGGAACAAGATCAGCTCTAAAACTCCTCAAACTTACGGTGTCCAATAAGTGGTCTATGGCCTTAGTTCTTACTGAGGTGTTTTGTTGTTGCTTACGTTAAGGACATGTTCTTTCTGATTTTGTCTAAATATTGATAAGCAGCAAAGACTTTGGCCTAGAGGAGCAGACAACTGCGAACTACAAATTCAGCCTCTGTCCAGCCTGTGTTCCTCAGAGCTCCATCCAGCACATTTCCCCAGAACGCCCACAGTTTAACAGGCTCTCTCTTTAAGAAACTGCACACCCAGTCTGGAAGTTGAAACATAATAGTTTGTGGAGAAGAGACATCCTGGCAATCGTTTCTAACCAGAAAAACTCCCTTGCATACAGCAGGGTGGGAAGGAATAAGCTGGAACCCTGAGGGCCTTAAAATTATGTAACAATAATGTTAACAATAGAATATCATTGGAACACGCCTTGGGTAATCTCATTTTCTAATCTATGAGACTGCTTAAAAGCAGAGATCTATCACTTTTTTCATGATTATCAGAGAAATCAAGTAACATCTTCACAGAGTTACACAGCAGTTTATGACAAATTCTGTGTTTGGTTATACAAGTGTATTTTTTATGGCTAGCTGAAAGCTCCCATAAGACTTTATTCCAGGAGACAAGACTGGATAGGTCAGTAGCTTTAAGGAGCTCTTGACACAAAGTCTATGCAAAAGATGTGAAAAGTATGTTCAGACTAAACACATCCTTTGCGAGCCTCGATGCCATATAACCCCAGCTCTTTATTTCTAACCCCTGGAAATGTAATCTTGCAGATAGAAAGTTGTACAGACTGTGTCATGCCTACAACAACCTTGCGGCTTTAAAATAACAAACAAAAGTACTGTTTTTTCCTGATAACTCCTGGTTTGAGAAACTAATGCATACACAGTGGGCTGTATTTCTACATAAAAGATACTTTTAAGGGGATTTGAGATGTACTACATCTCCACCATAAAGTACAGGAAAGTAAAAAAAATTCAGTGCATCTTCAACAGATAAAAAATGAGATATAATTAATACTGCCTGAAGTATGAATGCTATTAAAGTATTTCAAGATCAGGTAATTTGCTGACATAATTTAAAGTTTAACAGAAGCTGTTTAAAGTCTCTGCCTCATAGGTAAATGGTGCATATAAGAGCACACCCCGTAATGCTATCTTTTAAAAGTAAATAGAAGAAATTTTGAGGCAAGTGAAGTTATTGAGATAACATAATGTAATTACCGAAGCCTATGAAATAAACTCCACAATTTCTGAAGATGCTCACACAACCAAATTCAGGCTCAAGTGATTTAGCAAGTCGATGCAGAGATAGCCTAAACTGTCTAGAACCAAGATATACTGTGAGGACGTCTATGAGTTGTTTTGCTTCGTTTTAAGTCTTATCTGCCATAACCCACCTATCTGCATATATCACAAATAACATCATATTAGACCAAACAAAAGGGATTCATTCTCTGCTATTACAGAGCATTCCTTCTATCAAACTACCTCTCTGACAATTTTAACATTAGTTTTTCATTTGGTTTCCCTGAGAGACTAACAATAAGCAGCCACAATACAACCAATTGTCACCTGCATACCAACAGGCAATTACAGATAATTTTAACTTAATTGCTTCATGTAAAAGGTTTGAGCTGAACTGCTTTATGTAGAAAATGGGAAGAGGAACTGAAAACCTGTCTGAAACCAACTGGTCCTCCACTAGGAACACAATCCTAGCAGCCCTTCATCAAGAGCACTCTCAGTTATTAAGGTTTCCATGGCCCATCTGTCAGTCACAAGACTGTAATGCCTTAAATACATAGGAGTCTGATAAAGAATTAGGAAATCAAATTACTGGAGAGCCAATGGAATTCATCACTATCCTCAGCAGCATGACAGTTAATACAAACCTCGCAAAACAGATCTGCACAGATAAAGATTAAAAATATGTAATCTTTATAACTCAGATGCTAGATTGAGATCTGCCAAATTGCTGGAGTTTTTACCCTTGTTCTATTATGATTATTTTCTATTATATAAATATGCTGGCTGGCCCATTAAACACAAACTAGAAATTTCAAGATTTCATCTGTATCTTCTTAATGCGCAGAGGGTAAGACATACGGCATAGACTGATAATCAGAATCTCAGAAATATTTATTCCCTGCTTTCATTAGAATGATAGTTTAAGCTTTTTTTTTTTCCTAGAACTTTGCTAGCCAGAAATCTGAAACATTCTGTAAGATTCCTGTATACTTTATAGAACACACTCCTCTTTCCGAATAGAAACTCTTCTGTTCATTCTGAATGGAAACTATTTGCACCACATGAATGAATTTCACAGGTATTTTTGTTTCGTTAAAGGGGTACACACATTAAAAATAAAATTAAGAAGTCATAAGAGGAATCAGTCTAATCAGTATCGTGTGCTCCAGCCCACAAATTTTTTTAAAAGTCCATGAAAGGAAAAAAAATGGACAATATTTTTAACACTGGATTTACACATTCCATCAAATGTGACAACCATCTCAATGGTACTCCATCACCCATATTTTAATGATCTGACTTTGTAGATAGATACATAACTAATGCACTGGCCTAAAAAAAACAAAACAACACCACACAGATTAATATCATGCACCCTTCAACAGATCCCTTCAAAATACATCAGTAGCTTCACTCTTCAGACTAGAAATACACAGCACAAAAGAAGCATCAAGCCAGAGCAACCAAAAGGAAAACTCAAGACAACAGATGAAGAAACAAGGAATGAAATCACAGCAATCAAGACACTAAGGCCCAGCTTCTCCCATTAAAGGCATTGAGAATTAGGCATGTTTTCTTAAAATGCAATCATAGGTGCTTCTAAAAAAGTTCTAGAATGAGAGCTGGTATACTACCAAAAAAACAATACAACAAATACATTGGCATTTTAAGGGTTTAAAATTATTTCACTGCTCTTTAGCAAATTGCCTTCCACGCAGACTTGCAACAAACACATCATCACCTTGACACGTTATTAACTAAATATTTCTATTGTATTTTATGATTAGAAGAAACAATACCTCTGTCTGAAGTATGGCAGCTCTCTGTTCTTTGGCAGTAAGTGACTCTTTAAGCACTTCAATGTGTTGCTTGCAATCTGAATTCTGATTGCTAAGGGTTTCAAGCTTAGTTTGTAAGGCAAGAAGTTCTGATTCTTTCTTTGAGAGTTCTTGTTTCAATTGATCAATCTGTAATGGGGGGAAAAAAAAAGGTTAGATCATTAATTTAATTTCCAATTCATAGTTGCAGTTGAAATTTGAAAGGTGGGAATGACCATGATATGACAACTCAGACACCTGTAAATTCTGGAAGAATTCTGGAAGACTTTTTACACTCACAACTTCAATTGAGTTTCTTGTAATTTAATGTACCTGTCTAAAGAATGATTGCCCTGCTGTTGCAGAAGTTAAAAGGAAACAAAGATTATACATGATGATTTGGCCTATAAATTCACCATGGACCTCACTTAAGTTCAAAGGAATTTATCCTGCGTGAGGCTAGTCTGGCAGAACAGCAAAAATGCATAAGAAAAAAACTGTTCATAAAAGTATACATTCCACCCAATAGCCTATTCCTTCCAACAGCATGATTCTTGTGACTTATCATTGGCCAAAACGTATCAAGGTTTTTTTAGGAGCCTGATAAGGAAAAGCAGGCATCTTAATAAGGAAAGGAAAACAGAGAAGTGGAATTTTAACCTTATTCTTCTTGCAAATGTGTTGCTACCCACCATCCCCACCTCCTTTTTCCCTCCCTGGCAGCTCATATGGAATTCTCAGGTACTAGGAAAACCAAGCCAAAGAGATTAACTTAAGAGAAGTCTGGGGAAAACATTATAAAAAATTTCACAGAATGAAAGGTTTGTGAGATTGTAAAAGCACATCCTAAAGGAAACAGCAGAAACCCAGTCACTAAGATAGAGCTTCTGAATTTAAGTGAATTTAAGGTTCATCAGTAAATGTCATGTCACAATGATAAATGGGAGATGTAGCCACAGAATACGTAAGTGTGGTGGATTTAGAATATATGAATTTGAACAAAGCGCTGGCCAATACACACAATGATGCTAAAGGATGGTGAGTTAGGTGATGTAAAGCTATTCTTCCTAAATCCTGTGAAATAACACCGCTCACCAGATGACTTCAGATACATAACCTCAAGAGGATTATTTGAAATAAAATGCCTCAGTGCACCTGTGTAACTCAGAGACACTTTGTTTATTTTTGGAAAGTTTTCTTGATGACTGTAATACCTAGATATTTTTCTTTAAATTTCAATGTTCATTTGTGCAACAACCAGAGAAGTCTTGGAAAAGCTCTTTCCATCCTTTCTCATCAGTTACATCCCAACAGATACTTGGGATGAAAGAAATCTAGAAGGGCTGGATGGAAGGTGGCTCAAAAATCCCCCCAAAAAAAGAAAAGGTACCCACAGGCTGATCCCACCCAACCGCATCATAAAGACACATGCACTGAAGTATTTCATAGATTCAATATTGTATGGCACAGTCACTGGAAGCATTTACTGCTGATCAAAATATTTCTATTTTGGTTTACATTGTAAGTGTATCCTTAAAAATTAAATTTAAAAAAAAAAAACCTGTTTTTCCAACTATAGTCCATATGCATGTCTGACTACAGTTATTTATTCCTTATTTCTTTTTCAAAATCTCAGTATGTTTGTCTAGCTGGTTAAGGTACGTGGTTAGCCACCCCTGGGCTACTGTATAAAATCAAGAATCTATACAGGCACTGAAAGCAATCACCTCCACAGTCTGAAAATCTCAAAATAAAAAAAAGGAGCATACAAAAAACAGATGTCAGGAAAACGTAAAGAGTGCAGTTGAGAAACTGCTAGAGAAAACTCTCTTGAATGCAAACCACCTTCCTCCGTGCCTTGCCAGTACATGTAAGCAAGTATGGCAACCGAGACAGAAATGTATACAAATGAACAATGGGAAAATCTGTCTACAAGATATAAAGACAAAACGTAGATCTGCAGCCAATCTGAATTACATCACATGCTTTATACAAGCCCCATGTGAACACTGCAGACAGGTAATCTCTCCAAGACACTCTCCCCACTTTTTTCCATGACACAACCCACACACTGAGAAATAATAATAAAGACCTTCATTTCAATTGCAGGTATGTTCTTCATGGTTTAGAAACAGAATGTGTTTAGTATAAAGTTCTAGCTCCAAGGCCTACCAATTATCAGGAGTTTAAACATGTGTTACAGCTCTCAAATGAAAATTAAAAAAATAAAATTAATGAACCCCACACTCAAAAAATGCATTTAATAATTATGATTACTATATAATTATGAATAATTATGATACTGGAGACCAGTAACGAGTGGTGTCCCTCAGGGATTGGTGTTGGGACTGGTCTTGTTTAACATCTTTGTTGCTGACATGGACAGTGGGATTGAGTGCGCCCTCAGCAAGTTTGCTGATGACACCAAGCTGTGTGGTTCGGTTGATACCCTGGAGGGAAGGAATGCCATCCAGAGGGACCTTGACACGCTTGTGAGGTGGGCTGATGCCAACCTCATGAAGTTTAACCATGACAAGTGCAAGGTCCTACACCTGGGTCAGAGCAATCCCAGGCACAGCTACAGGTTGGGCAGGGAAGAGATTCAGAGCAGCCCTGTGGAGAAGGACTTGGGGGTGGTGGTTCATGAGAAAATGAACATGAGCCAGCCTCTGTGTGCACTCGCAGCCCAGAAAGCAACCGTATCATGGGCTGCATCAAAAGGAGCGTGACCAGCAGGTCCAAGGAGGTGATCCTGCCCCTTTGCTCTGCTCTTGTGAGACCTCACCTGAAGTATTGTGTGCAGTTCTGGTATCCTCAACATAAAAAGAACATGGAACTGTTGGAACAAGTCCAGAGGAGGCCACGAGGATGATCAGGGGACTGGAGCACCTCCCGTATGTAGATAGGCTGAGAAAGTTGGGGCTATTCAGCCTGGAGAAGAGAAGGCTGCGTGGAGACCTCATAGCAGCCTTCCAGTATCTGAAGGGGGCTTATAAGGATGCTGGGGAGGGACTCTCCCATTAGGGACTGTAGTGATAGTACAAAGGCTAATGAGTTCAAACTTAAACAGGGGAAATTTAGACTGGATATAAGGAAGAAGTTCTTTACTGTAAGGGTGGTGAGGCACTGGAAAGGGTTGCCCAGGGAAGTTGTGAATGCTCCATCCCTGGTGGTGCTCAAGGCCAGGCTGGACAGAGCTTTCAGTGACATGTTTCAGTGGGAGGTGTCCCTGCCTGTGGTCCTTTCTAATCTTAAGGTCCTTTCCAATCCTAACTATTCTATGATGCTATGATTTTGGCTGGTGTTTTATTAAAGTATAGTGGTAAAAATGTACTAAAACTTTAATTAAAAAAAAAAGTATCAAAAATCCCGCAGGCATATCAAGAAGGCACAGAAATTTAGAAGTGCTGCATTATCTACTGGTGTGCAAAAAAAAAAAAATTGAACAGGGCATGAAATAAATGTCTGTCTCCAGCAGACGTGCAAACATTTTCACTTTGCTGTATCTTGAGTGGTGTGGAAGACCAACAGTCACAACTCAGCAATATCTCCTGTCAGTGAAAAAACAAAGGCAAAAATATTTTTGTACTTTATAAAGAAGAGAATGAAGATAACCTACAAGTTATCTCATGTATTTATAATGTCTAATTTGCCTGTCACTGCTTTTTCACCATGCCCACAATGATCTCTCTTCACCTCCTTTCTTGAAACCCTAGTTCCTTTGCTTCCAATGCTTTGTCTTCCTTCATAATATATGATTCTGTCAACTCCCATAGTTTCCATTCCTTAGATACCAGCATTTCCAGAAAACCATTTTCCTTTTCCTTACATCACTATTTTTATACACCAAAACCTTACACAGAGTAACTGGGAAACAAAGAAAACAAAACAACCAGAGCTCCTCCGCTGACTATTCCATCTTAAGATTAATGAGATAAAACCTTAAGTAAATTAGTCTACTAATGAATGAAATGAAACTATGCTGATTTAAGCATCAGAAGGATTTGGTCTTATTTGACAAATGACAACTGCTTGTTCAAGTGAAGGATTTCAGTAAAGGAAAAACTGTAGCAATGCTAATGAAGTGGCTGCATACAGTGGGTTCTGCAAGCCTATCTCTAGATGTCACAGGTTGTATTGGTCAAGATCTATTCTTAAAGTGTTTGGCACTTTTCCAGACCTATGCACAAAAAAAATGCTGTAGTTTTTCTCCTGTATTATTTTTCCTAAATGATCACCTAGAACTTGCATGTTTCATTCGTACAGTGCGAACAGATCTTATGCACAGTGCCCTGCTGCAGCCTAATCAATTCTTAATGGTAATTTGCTGAAGTTGTACTAACTTAATTATTAACTAATCATTAGATTTTCATATTCATTCCTGTGGGATTTAGCACAAGAGTTCTAATACTCAAAGGACTAATTAAATTCAAGAGTGCAAACTCACACCTGAAAAAAAATGCATCAGTGTTCCCTTAAGTATCTGGCTGTGAGCCAAAGGACAAACCCTAGGTAAGGGAAGGAATTCTTGCAGAGCAGAAATCAGAAACCATTTTTTAAAATGCATATCATCCTATATATGCTCTTCACATCCTTAATCAAGATATTTGAAGCTTCATATCCCTTAGCCATGAAAACTTTAAGACTTGTTTGGACAATTTCTGTAATGTGTGCATAATGGCAATTTCTGTCCCTTCAAAAACAGAGCAAGAACAGTCTTCACCTCATCAACTGGGCCAGAAGAAAAAAATCTAAGCAAGTTTCTCATTTCTACAACTTCTGTTTAACTGCAAGTCAAAATTAAAGCTTCTATATTTGGAAGAAGTGAGTATTATTAAGAGTTAGCTAAGAAAAGAAACACTCCCCAACATTCTCTGCCACTCATATACAATAAATAGTACTCAGTTTTGGCCTCCATTTAACACTCTCCCATTTATTTAAATCAAGTACAAATGTAAAACAAGTTATACTTCAAAAATAAATGTGAAATATTAAGAGCTTTATAGCACCTAAGATTGTTAACTGTGAGAAGAGTTTTGTTCTGCTCTCTGCCATCATTCAAGACTCCTGTTTATCAGAATTTTTCAACAATCTCAGGTTCAACAAATCAGGTATAATCAGATCTGTTTGCTGACAGCTACATAAATACTTTTCCACCTTGAAAGGTTCTCAGATGAATGATAAAAGCAATATCTTCTGCTGCAAATCTCAATTTTAAGTGGAAGAAAAGGACTGGTGAAAGAAAACAGACAAAGTTTCATCAGAACATGGCATTTTTCAAAGATCAGACGATTGTAACAAAACAAGCTATGTTTAGTAATCTTCTCATCCATCTCCTTTCTGTGGCACAGGAATATACTGAAGTTTTTTCTCTAAAAAACATGAGGAGACTGTTAATAAAGTGGGGGTTTGTATATTATTTTTATATCGGCAGATCTGCTGAGATGCATTAGGAGTTTTGCTGTGAATTATTAAAACTGAATTGCTTTGAAATTAATGGTAAGTTGGCAAAATACTTTTCCTGATAATAATGCTACTTAAAGCTACTAAAAGCAGTTAAAAGTTCCTAGCAGCTACTTTAATTAATATATTCTTTGGGATTTATTTTTTTTTACTCAACCTGGATTAATTCCACATGTGCACAAATACTTCCATTTCTTCTGTAATACAAACCACCCAGAAGGAGACAAAAATGCATTCCAATATCACAAGACACCAGCATTTTCTGTGAGGTAGTTTATGAGATACTACAGTTTCCAAAGCAAGGGACAGTAAGAGCTCATCTAAGATGTAAAATCTTCAGTATCCAACACTACACAGCAGTGAATTTTCTTACTCTTACACTTACTCAGACAAAAAAAAATCATTTTGTCAATAAAATAATGAAGGTCTGATTTACAGACCCTCCAGAAAGTGCTGACACCATTTTATTCTCTGAAGCATAGACAAGCTGCATACTTTGAATCAAAGCTTGCCTGACTCTGAACTGCAATGGTATTTATGTACCTGATAGTGCAAACTTTGCACTTCACCAGCAATGCTACTAAGTATTTTTATCATCAATAATAGTAGGCAGAGAATTAAGAGTTAATTAACTCTTACTTCTTTCACTTACATGGCCTCTAGAGAGGTCACATTACCAGCTCCTCCTCAAGCAGTTTTTTCAGAGCTGCAAGTACACATTTCAGAAAAAGCAAATCAATCCATCTCCATTCACTAGAATTTCACAAACAAAATGTCTGTGTACACAAAACCTCTTAAATATTTAAACAGAATAAGAATCCAAACAAAGAACTGGGACAGAAAGACTGTTAAAATAAATTAGCATAATAATCATGACTACTAAAGAGGTTTGCCTTGATTTTATTCCGGCTCTATGGTTACATTTTTAACATCACTGCAAGAGAAGAGATGGCTTGCCTTCCTCCTCAGTGTTCAGGCTGCTGTAACTTGTTTTGCCCTATCTTAGTTTAGCTTATAAATAATATTAAATTAAATTAATATTAATTAATATTAAAATGCTATTTCCAAAACCTAAATTTCAATCTAACACAGTGGGACCATAAGCCGCAGGCTCCATAACTTCTAACTTTTTTTTCTGCCTTTTAATCAAGTACTTTAATTCAGTATTTTGTCACTTCATAAACAAACATACTCAAGGTAGAGAACTGGGAATAAACCAGCATAGACTGTAACATTACATATATTTATTACAATTTTAAAGTAATTATAAAAATATCAGGAAAAAAAATATTAGCCCTCATAAAAAAAGACTAATTGGCAGGCTCATCTTTACTCAGACAGCAGCTGAGCACATCGAAATGAAAGGAGGTAGAAAGACCAGCTGGGAAAATAATTTGGACATCAAGCTTTACTTCTGAAGTACTTAAAAATAATGAACAAGCAATAATGTTTTGTGAGCTTGCTACCAGAAAATGTGTTACATCACTACACACTATCTGCTTGTGGTCAACTCATAATTATCTATGTACAATAATTTGAAATGAAAGGTACTTTTCAGGAACAAAGTCATCAGATTTCAAGTCTTTAAAATACAAGAAGATTGCGGTTTGGCATCATCTATGGAACAGCAGCTCTTATGGTAATTCTACAATCAAAACCAGAAAAATGCACAAATAAAGTTACGCCAAAATACTGCAAATCAAAAATATTAACTCATTCAAAATGACAATATTAAAACACCATACACAAGAAAGGGAAAAGGGAACAGACTGTACACTCAGGATTGTAGTAGCCTTTGCAGACGTGGTGAAATAGCCTCTTACCTTATCCCTTCCTAAGTCAAAAGGCTTTTTATTTATCCTAAATTTTTCACTCTTCCATAGCTACTATTCCATAGCAGAGTAGAGATTTAACAAAAGAAGACATGGAGAAAGCTACTTATGTTGAAAAGGGTCAGGATAAAACTTTTGTTTCCATTACTTAAACAGCATTAAGCTATTTTATTAATAGACCTTACCTTATTTTTCATGAACTTAGAGTGACTCTTGTAAACTTCTATTTGTTTGATTTCTTCTTCTCGGTCCTCCGTATTCAGAACTCCATTAGTCTTTAACATTTGTATTTCATCTTCAAGATCTCTTATATTGCGCTCAAGTGAAGCTATTTTTGTATCCTAAGTTATAACAAAAAGAGAGTATTGAAAATTATATGAAAAATACAGTATAGTGTAACAGAAGTATATCTGTATTTGCATGAACATCAAATAATAAGATAGCCCCATTTCCACATGTACATGACAACATAACTTGTTTGCTTTGCTAACCATCTAGGCCTGGCTGTACTTAAACATGAAGTTTAGCCTAGGAAGTCCAGTGCATCATCTCTGCAGGATGACATGCCACTACATTATGTGACTCAGCCTGAGGCTGTGTTTCCCTGTTTCCACAGAGATCTGCCTGATGCCAAGAGGAAGAAAGGCTGTCTCCTCATATACTTTTCCTCCTCTAATTCAGGCACATCACTAAGAGGAGATTTAGTAATTTTGATTATGAGTCCCAAAATAAACAAAACCACAACCATTAAAAAGTTTCTACATCACAGCCTCTAAGAAGAGGCAAGGCAAGTGGCCTTGTCCAGCCTAGAGAAATGAAAGCTTATGGGGGGAACCAGAAGTAGCCTTTAAAAACCAATAAGTGTTATATTTTGAGTACAAGCATTGGAAATGGTTGCCCAGAGAGGTGGTGTCATCCATCTCTGGAGGTATTGCAAGATCTGACAGGATAAAGCTCTGATTTTCTCTCTTCATTTGGGCTCTTCAATCATGAGACAATATACTGCAGGCAAATATTCATGAATTCCAGTGGGGTAGAAAAAATATACTTTCTCTGTCATTACTCCCACAGTAACTGTAGTACAGCGATCTTAAGCCTGAATGCCTGATGTCACTGAAATATGTTCAGTATTTCACTAGTAAACTGTTTTAGCACCCTAAATGAGTAATGCTTTAATAATTAATCACAAATGGTTTCACAATCTAATTAATTGTAGAAGCAGATGGATGTCTTTCCTAAAAGTAGGACTGACTTCAATACTTCATTCTTGGCTATTTTCTTTTGCAAACAGCATTCTGAAAACATCAGAAAAACATGATACTATGATCATAGCAAGCAGTAGAGCACAAAAATAATCTCATTCAAAAGTCAGTTGAAAACGGGCAGCAGAGTGAAAGACAATGCCCTCATTAAACAGTTCTGTTCAATTGCACAATCAAAACCATAGTAAATTAATATAACACTATACTAATATAGATACGTATATACCAGTTCAACCATCCCAAGACAATGGCTTTAAAGTGAACAGCCGGATAAGCACTTGCTTACACTCATACAAAGTGAACAGGAAATCTTAGTGTGAATCAGAATCGTGACAGATATTTGTGACAGATATGCAGTCAGCTCCTTCCCAGATACTTAAGTAAGTTCAGAATCAAGTTTTCATTTAAAAAAAAAAAAAACAAAACAAACCAAACCACACAAAAACACCACCACACACAAAAATATCATTAAGATGATGGCGAAAAGAGAAAAAAAAACTCGTCAGACTTTGTGTACTACCAAGATTGTGAACACAAGAAAAACACATCTAGCCTGCTGCTGAATGTAGATTCATTCACCTGCATCCCACTGATATACCAGTTTCATTGGCAGATATGTTTCTGGGTTCTACAAGTATGCAAATATATTGTGGTTCCCATCTGAAAAGATTTTCATTGTTTTAATCCAGACAAGAGCTCAGTGATGCAAAACTTTCCAATAAGAAATCTCAAGACAAAGGAATTCAAAATAGAAGCTGAGAAGAGCTATCTTCCATGACAGCAAACACATTTTCATGCCATATAGGCAAAGTAATGCACTTTGAAGGGGAATACCAAATCCCTTCATGCATCTTATAAGTTTCCAAATTAACAGCATCCTCTTTTAGAAAAGGAGCAACAGCTGAAAGAGAACAAAGTGCCAGAAGGCAAAGGAAACAAACAAAACAAGTAACGTGAAACTTGCTGTTTCTTATCTTTTTCCTCACTAGCTGTTTCTTTTCTGGAAAATATCTGATACTGGAAATGCTGATGATAATCAGCAGTCCCAGTTTTCCTTTCTTGAAGAAAAAACCACAAACGAGCTGACTGGGAAGGCAACTTCAAAAAAACAACCCACCACCAGCAGCCCTATTCTGGAAGACTTCCAGCCAGCTTTAACAGTATGTGCCTTTATCTTTTAATATAATTACGGAGCTATTTTTTGAATAACACTTTTCAAGATGCAGGTAAAATGCAACTTAAATTACTTAGTATGTTAGTCTAAGATTGTTAACATGACATTTTCAATAGTAGAATCCTAAAATTTTATTGATCTTTGTCCATGGAATCAGCATTACTCATATCCTAGAGCACAGGCTGTATGAATGATCATGAAAAAAACAGTCACCTTTCTGTTAAATGACCAGCCCTTCACATGAGAGAAAATAAGCGTTTTTACGATGTCAACCGTTCTGTTCACAAAACTTTTTTCCATAAACTTTCCCACCACCACCACCAAAGAGGAAAGTAAACTAAAAGGTTGATACGGAATGAAAAAGAGAAATGGGAAGATTTCTCATTAAATCTTATCATTTGGAGAAATTACTCAAAAATAAAAATACTGAAAGAGAAGAAAAAGAATTTTAAACGCTATTAAGGCTTACACACAACAATAAATTATTGTAGCTCTCACAGATACTGCAACCAAATCAGCTTCCTCCATCAGACTTCGTTTTAGACATTTTCTACTCTTATTATTGAAGATAAAAGCAAAACATAAGCTTCACTGCACTGCAGAATGCTTTTCACTGAAATATGTTAATACTTACATGACCTGTTATGACATCTCATCTGGGAGCAGTCCTCATCAAATCTCTCCAGCTAAGTCTTTAAGAGTCTGTCTTTTAGTACTGAATTTGTATTTTACATGTTTGCAAATATAACATGGCAGAAATAATTTACAGCACAGCCTATTATGCTCTTTAGAAGGTTTGTACACCACAGTACAACAGCTAAGCTTTATAAGAAATATCTAACAACCTGTGGAGACAGTTTCTGTACTTCTACTTTGTCACGAGTTTTAACTCCCCACGGAAAAGTTTATTTTTAATCAATCTGCATACTGTGATTACAGCTGTGTAAAAACTAGGTTTTCTATCTACAGAAAAAATGTCACTGTCAGTTTTGTATTAACTTTTTACTGGAACAGAATTGAGAAAATCTGTTTCCAAATAATATATAAAAAACATTAGGTGATGACAAGACAGAAGAGAAGCCAGACATCACCTTTGTTCACAGGCTGTTCAAGGAGTCAAAAGTACTATTCCTTTATGTATAAACACTACAGGACCAGCAATTCTGCAAACACACTAGACAGGCTGTTGGTTTGCCTAGGAAACATGAAAATTTTCCTGACTGGACAACTGCTAGCAAGTGAGGGAACTTCTAAGTCAAAGATAATACAGATAGCCTAGAGTTCCCAATGGGTACTGTCACAGCTCCCTTACAGGCTGAACAGAAAGGGTAGCTTTGCTTTAGCTTAAAGTTTTGACAGAATAGGCACATTCCCATAAAAAAACTTCTGATTCGTCTGAATCAGCATTTTCCCACAGAAAACTTCAATTGGAAAGTTTCAACCAGCTCTTGTTGTGGCACAGGGTCTGGCAATCTTTCAGAAGCTGAAACAGGAACAGATGCAGCATTTCCTTCAAACCCCTAAGTCTTATTCACATTAACAACATTCTAAAAAAACTACACGGGTCTGTGTTGAATCACAAAGAGGATTCCTTTGCAGTAATATTAAGGAAGCAGCTTAGTATTAAATGGAACTAATAAATGTGTTTCAGTTCTACAACAATGCAACATTTGTACAGATTTTTCCAGTCAGGCCTTCTAAATCAGTTAAAAGACATTAAGATTATATAGCAGGATTTGTGATACAGATCAGAGTCCTCACCCTAATCTATCGCCTCCTTCCAGCAGTAACCAATACCTCTTCTTCATCCCCTTTATTAAAATAGTGTTTCACATATTCTGAGAGAGAGGTTAGGGCTATTTCTAGGCTGCACCTAGCAGAAATCTATCTCTTTAAAACACGAAACAATTAGTATGCATCCTGATGCTGAAGAAAATACTATTCAAGAATAGAGACTAACTTTACAAATTAGTCTCTACACTAATGCTTCATGATCCTTATATACCCAGTCCTTACAACAAGGGTGCTATAGCACATTTCCTGAACACTTAAGGGTTGAAAATGGGCAAAACATTTGTAAATACTACAGCATTCCAGCCCGCCTTTGTCTGAAACAAAAGGTAATGAAATGCTACTCTTCATCATTTTAAACATGTGATAAATTTAAACTATGTCTGTGAAAAATCTTGCTTGCAGGGCATTCAACAAGCAATCGGAGCAAATATTTGAAACTTCACGTTTAAGAAAACTCGCATTTAAATGCATGTATGCACACATGCTATCAACAAACCATACACGACTACTCTTACTACATACTTATTTTAACTTTGCCAATTTAATACAGAGAATATTCAGGTTTATTTTGAAGACAAAGGGAAATGAAAGTTCATGCAATCTTAACAGTAAGAGTATGTTGCACTGCAAACACACAGACACACTTTTCTAGAACCAAACCCATACCTGAAATACGAAAGCTGGATCAATACATAAAGATGCCTCTTTCTGCAAGTAAGGTAAACCACAAATATTTTCATTTACTTAACAGCTTACCACATTTAAAGACTTTTTAATTCTTGTTGCTAGACTACTTATGTTTCAGGATGGTCCATACCCTACACTTGGGATGAGTTTTATGCTGTATCTGTAGGCAACTTATTTCTGATTTTGTCTCCTAAATAATGTCACTTGTTTTAAGTCCGGAACTGTCTGAACAAGATCACAGAATCACAGGATGGTTTGCGTTGGAAACAACCTTTAAGGCTCATCTAGTTCCAAACCCCTGCCATGGGCAGGGACATCTTCCACTAGATCAGTTTGCTCCAAGCCTTGTCCATCCTCACCTTGATCAGTGCAAAGGAGAGAACAGCCACAGCTTCTCCAGGCAGCCTATGCAAGTATCTCACCACCATCACAAGGAAGAACCATATGTCCAATCAAAATCTATTCTCAGTTTAAAACTGAACCACTGCCCCTTGTCTTGTCACAACATGCCCTACTAAAAAGTCCGTCCCTGTCTTTCATATAAGCCCTTGTTAAGCACTGAAAAGCCATAAGAAGGTCTCCAAGGAGCCTTCTCTTCTGCAGGCTGAACAAGCCCCTCTCTCAGCCTTTCCTCGAGGAAAGTGTTGCAGCCTTCTACATGCACAGAAATGATCATTTTTGTGGCCCTCCTCTGGACTCACTCTAACAGGTCTGTGCCTGTCTTGTAGTGGGGACTCCACAACAGAATGCAGTTCCCAGCATGGGAACTCATAAAAGATGAGTAAGTTTTGACTTATGTGCTCAGGTGTACTTCTTACTGCAAGAATGAAATTAGAAGTGCACTTCCTTTTACTCTTTTTTATTATATTAATCAGTGTTAATCAAACTTTGGTTATCACTCATATTCAGACATATCAGTGTTCTGGCATTTGTCAGCACACAATATGCAAAGAAGTATTCAAGTTTCAGAGAAACAGAAGCTTGACAGAATAACAGAGGCACATGAAAAAAGGAAGCATCCTGCCCTCCTTCAGTCCTGTGGCTCTGCTTTCCAGAGGAAAGAAGGGCTTCTGGAGAAGGTCTGTTGCAGACAAGGGAACAGAGAATAAAGAATGTAAGGGAACAGAGGATAAACAAAAGACATGTGACATCTGGAAGCAAATGTGTCTAAAGCAAAACCAGAAAGTTAGGGCAATGAATCTGAAAAGATTATATCTGAAAATGAATGAATAAAAAAATCAACAGAAACAGGAGTTAAGACATAGGATGTGGATTTCCTATCTTTGCTGTTTGCCTCCCTCCCCCCCCCCCCTTTTTTTTAATACGTACAGAGAAGATAGTCACTTGTCAAGGAGACAACAGTTATGCAGAAAACACAGTTACTATAAGAAAAGGTAACTACTTGCAAAGTTTTCAGAGAGAAATGAGAAGCATGACAGGAAAGGTAGTACAGAAGAAAAGCTGTTTAGGACCAAAAAAATCCCACATGAGATGATAGGTATACTTCACTGAATGAGACGGAGGACTGACTAGGAAAAGGGACAGAAGGCATTCAGCAGTGGCAAGGGACAGAAGAAAACCACAGGAAAGAATAGAGGGATTTATGAAGGAAGGAAAGCTGCCTCCTGGCAGAGCCTGGGGGAGCCACAGAGGGGACTCAGACAAAAGCTAAGTGGTGAAGGGGTGGAAGAGATTGGGTGCGGTATAGAGAAATGTATACTGCTTGGAGCCTCTGCACGGGGGAGTGTTTGCCCCAGATTGCCATATTACAGGGTAATCCTCTCCCTCCTTCTACCCTCAACACTGTAGGGAAATAATTGCTTCAATGCTTGATCATTCAAAACAAATGTTCCACATCTTTTTCAAAACAAATGCTGTCTGGATTAAGACAATTTAAATTTACTTGAAAACATTCCAAAGCTGGAACTCGTAATGAAAACTGCTGTTTAATCATGTGGATTTCAACATCTTACATTTGTTCCTTTTTCTTTTCAATATTAGGCCTGTTTTAGACAGGGCAACCCCAAAGGATTGTGTGTTCACCGGAAAAGAAACAACTGTGTGACTCAGAGCCAAAAGGGAGCCCTGCATCAGAATGCTCCAGCAACATGATTACAGTCTCATCCATGACAAATGAAAAGTCCTCACTACAAAGATCAGATTTTTTAAGAAGTAGAACACTGCACACCACACCGAACCCTCTCGGGAGACACTGAAAAGACTTCTCTGTCTTCAGGGACAGACACTGTCAGACTGGCTGCAATTACAGTCATCACGTGTGTCATTCGCATGTCATGTCCATCCCTGTCCCTGTTTTTTCCAAGAGTTTTGGTCCAAATTATTTTGCAACGTAACCTTGACATTGTTAATAAACCACATAGGAGACCATAAATTATTCTAACACACTATTTTTGTATCAAAAAACCTCAATTTATAATTCCAAATATTAACAGAAAGAAACAAGTTTCTTTCCCATATACTTTGAATAACAAGTTACTGCAAAAATATGTTTTAGATTTCATACACAGACTTCTGAATTAGAATAACCAGGGAAGATCCAAGGCAAACACACATCAGAAGACATACTACTAACTGATGTACCTTCTTTGTTACTCATATAATCTAAACTCATTGTTATCTGTTAAAAGGCAGATTCTATATATATGAAGTCCTGCTGTTGCTGTAACTGTGTATTTACCACAATGTTCAAACATGCTGAACTCATTTGCTCATAACAGAAGTCACTGGCAAAATGAGGCCTTTAATTTGCACTTCCTTTTAAGACTGAAAGACCATCATTAATGTGTTTCAGGCAGCACTGCCAACTCACAAATTATCTCAAGTCTCTTGGTATTTTTCTTGAAGATGTACGTTCCAGATTTATAGAATTATGTGAAAATATCAGCTTTCACTTTTCAAATTGTTCTTTTGTTAATGGGGGAAAAAAAAGCCACAACACTTTAGTAACATTATATATCAAAAAGAGTAAACTGTATTTAGGACTAAGAAAGGAATTTAATCACATTTTGTCATACCACTCTGCTGATGCAATGAATATTTTCCTTAGGTTAGATGCGAAATGATGGCCAAATAACACCAACAGAAGTATTGTTTTTAAAAAATTCAAGAAGAAAGGGCTTTTACATCAACTTTGGATGATTTGTGTTTTCTTCCGTTTGTCAGTTTATTCAATCTACTTTGGCTCACCTGAAACTGCCTCTCCCCAGCCCTAAGTATCATTAAAAAGCAATATGCAGTTATTATTCCATAATGCTGAACTTGATTTTTGTAATAAAGTCTTATTAAGACACCAGTCCGAGAGAAATACTAATTACTTCTAAATTCACAGCAAATAAATTGAGAAGTAAAAGGAAGCATTTAATGATTTAATAGCAAAAGTTAAAAATGGAGGAGTTGCATATTAAGCTTGGTAGGGAGCTAAATGTCACACAGCTGCTTATTCACTCCCCCTAAGTGAAACAGGAGACAACTGGAAAAGCAAAAGTGAGAAAACTCATGGATCAAGATAAAGTATATTTAATACATAAAACAAAGCTGTGCAACACAAGCCAAGCAAATTACGGAATACATTCACTACTTCCCATTGGCAGGCAGATGTCTGGCTATTTCCTGGAAAGCAGGGGATCGTGCTTAATAGTTACCTGGGACAACAAATGCTGTAACTCTAAATGTCCTTCCCTCAAGTTTTATTGCTGAGCATGACATTCTGTGGTATGGAATAACCCTTTGGTCAATTCAGGTGAGCTGTCCCAGCTGCATCCCTCCCAGCCGCTTGTCACCCCCAACCTACTTACTAAGGGTGTGGTGGGAGCAGAGTTAGAAACTGAGAAAGCCTTGACTCTGTGTAAGCGCTGCTCAGTAACAGCTAAAACATCAAAGTGTTATCAATACTGTTTTGGCCCCAGATTCAAAACATAACACCACACAGGCTGCTATGAGGAAAATTAACCCCATGCCAGCCATAGGCAGTGCATGAGTTCATAGTACAAAAATAATATATGGGAAAACATGCAAAGACCATACCTTCATTTCAATAACTGTTTGAAGAGCCTTCGTCTTTGCTGGCTCAGGCTGAAGCTGGGTTCTTCTGTGCAACTCCTGTGGAGGGACACGATAGAAATAAGCCTGACGACTCATCTTGCCATTATTTTAATCACTCATATGAATTTATTTCAGCAAAATAAGTCTGATTATTAACAGAATGCAACTCCAAATGCTACAGGTGCTCCCCTCTCCATAAGCCCTCCAGCATCGCTGCAGTCCCTATCTTATATTACAGTCAACTCTAACGGCACATGCGCTATTTCTGAAGCCCTTATCAATAATTAATGTCAACAGTGACAAAGCCAGCAAGTAATTTATTAGCCCAAATACAATGCTGCTGTTTCTGCCTAAAGATCAAAACTTAAATCAGTCGTGTTACTAATTCTCCAATGAGCCATTTAAAATCTATTACTGTAGTTTCTTCTTAGTTTTTCTTCCAGTATCTGAAATAAGAAATTTAAAGACATTATATTTAAATTTGACATTTTAAAGATAATAATTATAGTGGGTTGATGCAGCACCCGCTACAGTAGCGATTACATTTCAGTTTTCACATTTTCATACTATTTTTCATGCATCTTAATCTGCAGGTATAATAAAAATAGATTCCATTAGTTAAAACATAACAGAATTAATGTCTACTGGTCTTTATGAGAAAAAAAAAGAGAGTATGAAGCCAGCAGCACTCACTCTTTTATAAAACACAGGAGTTGTACCTCAGCATGAGGTATCTCAGTAAAAAAACTCACATGTCTACACAGAACAATGTAAAGCTGTAATGAAACATCATCATTTAAGAACAACAGAAAGCTGTAACGAAACATTATCATTTAAGAAGGCAAAAAGCCTAAGCTGGATGTGTCGTCCCAGCCTGTGTGCAGCTGAGGTGATGGAGGAAGAAGAAGAGAACTGAGAAGGGCGCCCTCGGCCGGCTGATCGCAGGGAAAGGGGAATTTGAACCTCGGACTCCAGAACCTAGAACGCCACATTCACCCAGGCGATCCCATTCTCGCCAGCAGAGTTCCCAGGCATAAGGGGCGCAGAGCCTGCACACCACCCTGGGCTCCCTCCCTCCCCGCATTCCCCTGTACAGGTCTCCCGGAGGGGTGGTGGATGCTCCATCCCTGGAGACATTCAAGGCCAGGCTGGATGTAGTTCTGAGCAACGTAATCTAGTTGAAGATGTCCCTGCTCACTGCATGGGGGTTGGACTAGATGACCTTTGAAGGTCCTTTCCAACCCGAACTATTCTAGGATTTTAAGAATACCATGATGCTTCCCACAAACTATTTGAGCAGTTTATTATAAAACAAAACTGAAACAGGAAAGATACAGTCCCGTTTCTAGTCCTTCAGAGCCCTTCCCTCTAAAGGACAGCACTACCGTGGCAGATTTCTTTCTCTCCCTGCTCTTTCTACCCCAGTGCTCCACATACACACTTGAACTAACTTTATAACCACAAAAAATACATTTATGCCTAGCAGACCGAGAAGCTCAGTTCATTCACCACAAAGACATTAGCTGACTCCAGATCCTGAACAACTGTGTCTTCCAAATTATGACTCTCCAGGGTGGAGGAGTCATCAAAAAAGAAAAAACAAACCAAACCATAACACACATAACATTCTGGGTCTTAATTATCTTTATTCCTATCTTTCAAATCCCCTTCTCTTGAGTCAAACAATGTACAACTTAATAATCAGTTGATAGACTATTAACTATAAGCAACTCTGGATTGTGCACATTTATTATCCTGCCCCACATCAGCCTATCCACATTTCTGGTCTTGCCTACGTTATAGCCCACAAGCATAAAAGGTGGAATTTTTTTTGTACCATGAACTATCCGTTTCTTGTTCTGTTTAATAATAAGCAAGCATATTGCTTATCAGTGCTTTTGAGAAACAACAGCTCTTTAAAGACTAAGTAGCAGAAGAGACTTGGGGCATGTTGTTACATTAAAATATACTGATAATTAACATCTTTATAAGATACATTAAAAAAATTGTGTGGCCTAATATATTAAAATAACTGAAAGGGACAAGTTAGTCATGTGTGCTCCATTTAACTGAACATAGGTTACTTGAAATGTAGTATATGATAGGACATAAAATCAAGACATCCATCCCCAAAACTGCCAGGATTGGCAACTTTTGGTTTAAATAAAAAAAGCTGTACATAGGTTAACAGAAAACTTCATGTATACAGAAAAAGATCAATACTATGATCTGTAGGATTACAGTTAAGCAGCCAAGTTATGGTCAAAGGGCTGGTAAATTAAAAGCATTTAGCTCATACCGGTTTTTCAGAGTCTTCTGTTCATGATCCTAGCCCACGACCGTAACAGGGCTTGGGCAGTTTTCATTCCCTCTTTGTACTATAGCTAACAATAATACCTTAGCCCATTATTGAAGCTCTTGGGAACCCTGGCAATATAAAGCAAGCAGTTAGATATGCGCTGTCATGCCTACTCTGTTTTGCCCCCTCTATTTCCATAGAAGGGATGCAAAAAACATCACCATTAAGCTGTTAAATTAGATTCTGACCTGAAATAGCCTATTGGTACCTTGACCACAGGACTGCCCTCAAGTGTCACATCAGGTGCAAGTGTCTGAATGCATACTTCAAGTTAAGTAGATCTGCATGCTTTTTTATTACATTGAATATATTACAGATACATGTACGTATATTTAAACTACCTCTAACATATGACAACAATGAACTTGAGATTTTGCTTTGGGCATTTATGAAGAAGTACATCTGAATGGTGCTTTTTCCTCAGGCTTGTGGGTGTGTTTGGGGTTTTTATTTTCTTTGGGTTGTTGGTTTTGTTTTTTTGTAGGGTTTTGCTTGGTTGTGTTTTTTTAATATATATATACAACTATCCATATTATAAAAAGAAAGAAATCATTGCAAATCACCTACACAGGGAATCTGTCAATCACCACTAGCTGTTTGTTGCACATGAAATAAGTACCTTCACTACACAAATGTTTTAAAAAATAATAATATGTCAGAGATTTGTCAGCTCTTCAGAAGTCATGGAAAAATAGTTGGCCACTCATACCACTATCTGATCAGCAAAAATTACAGCTAATTCTAAGACCAGACTTTGCTCCCCAAGGCCACATAAACTGAGCTGGAATATAAACAGGATTCCACACACTACCCAGGGAGACAAAACAGAGTTTCCACCCCCTTAGCCAAAGATGAATAGTCTGCCAAAGATGAGTATTCCTAGATGTCTATCATAGCATGAAGCTTTGCCTCATAATACTTTTCCTGTTTGCTTTATGAATCAATCTGATGCTGGCTGACTTAAAAGCTTTTCTTTTCTATCCCTGATGGTAAAATGAAACAGACTTTAGGATTCTGGAGAAGATCAGAAAATGACTCCCACTTTATTATTTTGTGTGGGTTTTCTTCCAATCAGATTCAAATGTTTGGAGACTCCCACAAGGCTCAGTTCTTCAATCTATGTTGTTCCATGTATGCATTTTTTCTTTTGGGGTACCTGATTCAGGGATATACTTTCGGGGTACTGATTCAATGATACCACCACTTTATGCACATGATACCTTATACTGATTGTTTTACTACCAGAGGTCACCTGCAGGGTTTCAAATTTGACTGAACAGCTAACCAAAAGATTTTCTGAATGTTTCATGAAGTCCTTATAGCCTAAGGAAACCAGATTTTTATCCATTACATCATTTCTGGAATGATGCCGCTTTGTCTTTTTAATTTTTTTAATACAAAGCCCAGGAAGGCTTATAAAAAACTTAAAAAGAAAAAACCACCATCAGGGATAGTTTCTTTTAACCTGAATTGCACAGAATGGAACTCTTGATGTTTATGCTTTTATCCATGATAAATTACTTGTGCCATCATCTCTGCAACCATTAAGGTCTATCCTAATAATCCCTCAGAGATGCACTCATTTATGAAATTATACTTTCATTATAACCCCTGACAACTGTATCACTCCAATTGGTAGTAGTTCTGAATAACCACTTTGCACATATAAATTCATTATAATTCTGTATAACTAGATGCCTACACTTGGGATTTCATAATGAATCTCAGTCATCAAGGTGATTAACACACCCACACAAAATTGACAGGTAAATAGATCTTTTTCTTCATATTAAATTTATTCTAACATTGTCCGCTTTTAGACCAAAATGAGTTTTAAGACAAAGCTAGCCACTGCTTTCTCCTTTCATATGTTTCTGGGATATTAGATTGACTAGCATCTTGTGTTGGCCTCAGAAGTAACTTAAGCACACAATTTTACCACTAATTTAAACATCAAAAAATCCCAAGAGGACACAGTTTGTATCATTGTCCTGGGTTCAGCACGACAATGTTTAGTTATTTCCTAAAATAATGGTGGAAGATAAGTCCTGTTCTTTCGTTTAGAAATGGTTAAAAGATCATGTAAGATTTATCATTATCAACTAGTATACATAGCATAGTCTTAATCTAACATTAATTAAAACCCAACTGAAACTTCTTTTTTATCCCAACTCTATTAGAAGCCACTTTATCACTTGGCAAAATGATCCTCCTTTTATTCTCTGTCTGATGTAGTATATTAAGGTTCCTAAGACATCACTGACTATGTATTGCTCTGATTAGATGAGATTGAGCTGAAACTCTTAAAACGCTATACCAGTGCTGTTAATGCAGTTCAAGGTTTTACTGTCTATTTACATAAAACTGCTTAAAATAGCATGATACAAAGTGCTAGAATGAAAAGGTCTTTTTCAGAAAAGTAGTCAGTTTAGAGAAGGTATCATGAAACTGTCAGTGAGTGCGTGCTTTTCAGTGGTAAGTTCCTAATGATTAAAGAGCAGAAGGAAAATGGAGCTGTAAACCAGAAGACCTTTAAAAATTAACACAAAGCCCAAGATTTACAAAAAATAATGATATAATAGGAACAAAGACATCCGAATCAAATAACCATTGGAAGAAGACAGATAATCAAAGATGGCAGCAACCGTACCATACCTAAGGCAATGTAAAACCAGGCATAAGAAACCATTGTGTCAGT